ATAAATACTTCTTTATTAAGACCTCTTAATAAAGAAGTATTTATCTGACCCAAGCCTGGTTGTAATGTAGCTAGTAAACAGAACATTGCTAAAACTAACGCCTTGGGTAAACCTCCCTCAATTTATCCCCCCTCCCCTTATTGCCTGGCATCGTGACTCCTCTTCACCTGTTGTTCACCTCTCTCCGAGCTTTCCGGGCTCTTTGGGCCCCAGCTGCCTGGCCGGCAATCAAGCCAGTCTAAATTGCCCATATATGGTTAAGCTGCTTCCCAACCCCCATTACAACCATTAACAGCCACCCCGCCCCCCAAGGTACAAGTGGCAGAAACAAATCAATCCAACTCCCAACGAATGCAATACAATGGAAAACAACAACAGTTGGGTGATGCAGGTTCTGACAGCATCCAATTCATATGGAGTCATTATTGCTGCTCTATATCAGTGTATGCATGCTAAGGACACACCACACTTATTTTTCTGATTTGGATACTGAAACCTGTCCATCGTAACTACATTTTTACTATGGAATCACAGATGGGCTAAGGAATATTAGGTTTTTCCACAGCAGATGGAAAGCATCAATCAGGCACAAACAGTGTGCCTGAAAATGTAAAACACAACTTTATTCCACATATTTAAACTACATTTTGTTCTGTTTCCAAAAAATTATTTTCCAGCAAATTTATTCTCCAACAGTTGCACATGTCAGGGAGTAAGAAGCATTCATGCAGTCAGTGACTGCTTTATCTCTCTTCCAATCTGAATAAAGACTGGAACTCCTATATTGCTCATCTAGCTACTTTAAAAACAATTAAAACAAATAAGGTTCAGAATTTGCTCTTGAACTGTAGCCAAAAAAAGCCCAAACACACTATTACAATATGTAGCTCCTTTATTTCTCATCGCTGGCACCCACCCTCTGGAACAACTTTCTACTGGAAACCCAGATCGCTCCATCATCCCTGACCTTTAGAAAAATCTTTAAAAACTGAGGTGTCCAGAAAAATTCATACGTAAGATCTGTTATCATTCTTAAATATTATTAGCTATTATAATAGTTTAGGAAAGGGTTTGAGAGCATTAAGAATTATTTATGTATCATTATTATAATTTGGCTTTTATTGTACATTCCCATGAGTCTAGCATGGAGTATGACAGTGTATAAAAAGAACAAACAAAACACTAACAGAATCTTTCTACTTCCCAAAATATAAGATACATATTACAAGATGCAGTAAGAGGCAAAGTATGCATATGTGAAACTGCATAATAGGGGTGTACACAAAATGGGGAAATTATTTCATTGAAACCTGAAATGGAGGTTTCAGAGGTTCTGCTGAACCAGTTTGGATCAGCCATAATTTGGCAGAACAAAACTTAAAATTTTTCAGTTGTTCAAAGACAAGGGTGAAAAAAAAAAGCTGGATAGGGAGAAGAAGAAGGGGGGAAGAGCTGTTTTTTCCCTCCTACACATACCTACTATACCAGGGGGTTTCAAAGTCTATTCCACAGAACCCTAGGATTCCACGAGAATTTGATGGGATTCCTTGACAGACTAAGGGCAAAAAAAAAAAAAAATCACTAGAGCTTTTCCTCTTGCTCAGACGTTCTGGGAAGTTTTTTTTTTTTTTTTTTTT